AATTAGTAAAAGTACACTTGATTTCTATCAATGGAGTCTTGTGGTTTTCTTTCCTGATTATCCAATGAAGGAGTGCTGACACTTGGTGCTGTGTATTTCCTTGAAAATGTCTTTACTGCGGGGGCCCTGGACCCTTGTGAAGGAATGTGTGAAGGAACCCCATGAGAAACCCCTCCCCCAATAAGGCTGATGAGGCTGAAGAAGAGACCCCCCACTCAACTCTTCCCCTGCACACACCCCTTTGTGTCAATCACTCAACAGAAGAACTGAATAAGAGCGTTTGGGAGGATAGGTTGACCACCCTTTCTCTGTGACAGCCCCTCAAATATTGGAAGACAGCTGTCATGTCACCCCTGGCCGCCCTTTTCACTAACTACGTAAACCCAGTCCCTGCAACCGTCCTTCGTAAGCGTCATCCTCCAGTCCCCTGATCCTCTTTGTGCCTCCTCTCCGCAGCCTTTCTAGAGTCCCCACATCTTTTTCATAGTCTGGTGTGTGGAGAATTCTAAGGATGGTCCTATGAAGGCTTTGCAAAGGGAGCTTTGGGGCTCAGCATCCTGGAAGAGCCCCTGTGGGGGGGGGGGTTCAGTCTCCCCACCACTGTTTCCTGGAGACCCACGGAGAGGAGCTGGAAGGAAACCTGTGGCAGCCATTGGAAAACCACCCACTGAGCTCAGGGGACTGAGGGAGAAGCCCAGGAATGCTTTGAGTCAATGAGGGACCAGGTGAGGAATCTGCCCAGGCTCTCTGGTTGTTTTAGCCTTTCTCAAGGAGGAGGATGAGCTCCAGGGTTTTCTCCTGATGCCTGGTGCCCCCGAGAGGGCTGATTCTGCCCACGGACTGAAGCCAGGAGAGAGAGAGGGTCAGGAGCGGGTGGGAGGGGAAGGACAAAGGGGTTTGTTTGATCAGGGGTCCATTGAGGAAGTTGGCCATAGAGAGAGGACAGGAATGAGGAGAGAAGTTCCAGTTGTGAAATAAGTGACTGAGTAGTCAAAAAACAAACAACCCACCCCCCAAATAAAATCCAACCAGCTTCTCCTTTGAATTAGGCCCGGAGGATCACGAGAGGCAGCCAGGGGCATCCTATGGCGGATCCTCCAGCTCTGATCTTGCTTATGCACCTGATCTCCTTCCCGGTGGCTCTTCCCTTCCTGGAAGATCTCTTCTTGGCTTCCGGGAGGTTCTCCGGGTGTCTGTCCTCCTGCCAGGGTGGGGGTCCCATGTTGCCTTGCAGCTCTTCTCCAGCTTCCTCCTCTCGGCCACTAGGACCCAGCTCCCTCTTCCTTCCCTGGCCCTGCTCCTCCTCCTCCTCCCCCCAAAGGGGCTTTTCCAAGAGGAGTTTCTTCTTTTCTTTCCTGGAAAACATTTCGCTTCTCATCCAAGAAGCTTCCGCAGTTCTGAAGAACTGAACCGAACCGAGAACTGAAGATGCTTCATGGGGGAGGAGCAAAACATTTTCAAAGGAAAGAAAAAAACACCAAGAAAGTCCAGTTGCCTTTTGGAAAAGCCCCCTTGGCACAATCACGACCTGGATGACAGAGCATCTCCACAGACGTGTCTCATCCTTGCCACCTTTGAGACGCTGATGTAGGAGATGGCCAGGCGGAGGATGGGGTCACAGCCAGGAGCCCAGCATTCAACCTCTGGTTGGTCTCCTCGTCAGAAGGGCCTGGGGGACCTGTTCACAATGGAAGGCCCCGCCCACCACAAGAGACCGGCCCTGTCTACCCCACGGGAAGAAAGGCGCCAATTACCAGCCGGCCATGGCTCACAAGGCAGGTGTTCCAGCATGAAGATAAGCAGGCAAATGGCATTTTAGATAAACATGCACCAAGCACTTTCTTATCTCTATGGTGCTATGCGCAGGCCGTGCCAGGGTGTTCTGCTGTGCCTGCGATGCTGCTAAACCCTCCCTAAGCACATTTCCCCCCTGAAGAGGCTCTGCTTCCTGGGGCTGAGCAGAAGGCTGCCTTGGGGGTGTCCCAGGGTGGTTTCCCCCCCCACAGCAGCATGACAGCCGTCTTCCATCTGCCAGTAGGGGAGGATACTTGTAACTCAGGGTTGAAATTGGGGGGGAGGGTTTCCTTGGTGCGCTCTGAGCTGGGTGGTTTCCTTGCAGGCATTCCATGACCCAACTAGGGGACAGCATCAGTGCTAAAAGCCCCCGCCCTCCTAGCACTGATGATGTTGCCTGGTTGGTTCATGAAACGTCTGCAAGAAAACAGCCAAGAGAGAACCAAGGCCAGAGTTCTCTTCCTCCTCCTGCCCCACCTCCAAACCCCACTGTAAGGTCCCTGGACAACCGTTGATCCATTGGGTAACTATTTCCCAGGCTCTTTCTTTACCTAAGCAGAGAGTCCTAAGGCAGCCCTACAAGTGGGGGTCTGGGTGTGTAGGGCCCCTCTCCCTCCCCTCAACACTGACTGGAGCTGGCTGCTGAGGAAGGAGGTGAACCAGTGGGGCTCCCCCATCCCTTTCTCTTTCTTTCTTTCTTTCTTTCTTTCTTTCTTTCTTTCTTTCTTTCTTTCTTTCTTTCTTT